CATATACATACATATACACACATAAAAATATATTAAAATACAAATATATTAAAAACTAGGAAGAAAAAAAAGGATGTGGCACGGATAAAAACAGTACATTTGTAATAGTTTTTCATGGCATGAATCTTCTAGAGCATTATGCCTGCATTAATTTGTATCAGGCTTTCCTGTATTACTTACATTCATGCAACTACTCTCCAGTATAAACTTTCACATGACTTTAAAAAGCATTAAAATTGAAAAACTTTTGATATTTTACATTTATAGAGTTTCTATTCAGTGTGCACTTTCCTCATGTGGTATTGTAAGGATGTGCGCCAAATGAAGGCATTGCCACAATCCTCACATTTATAAGGTTTCTCTCCCGTGTGCATTCTGACATGTACTCGAAAGCCTGTACGAAAACTGAAGACTTTTCCGCATTCTTTACATTCATAGGGTTTCTCTCCAGTATGAATTCTTTCATGTATGTGAATGTAACTGGAATTACTGAAGGCTTTACCACACTGTTTACATTCATAGGGTTTCTCTCCAGTGTGGGTTCTTTCATGTGTTCGCAAACCTAGAAGAGAAACGTACATTTTCCCACATTCTTTACATTCATACTGTTTCGTTGCTGTGTGTATCCCTTCATGTCTTTTGGCAGAGCTGCAACAATAAAAGGCTTTCCCACATTCCCTACATTTGTAGGGTTTCTCTCCAGTATGAATCCTTTCATGTCTTTGGGCTGAGTAGTAATATCTGAATGCTTTTCCACATTTTTGACATTCAAAGGGTTTATCTCCAGTGTGAATACTTTCATGTGCTTTAAACCCTAAACGAGACATATAAGTTTTCCCACACAGTTTACATTCATAGTGTTTCTGTGCAGTGTGATTCCTTTCATGTTTTTGAGCAGTATAGTGATAACTGAAGGCCTTCCCACATTCCCTACATTTGTAGGGTTTCTCTCTAGTATGAGTCTTTTCATGTCTTTTAGCAGAGTTGTGATACACAAACACTTTTCCACATTTTTGACATTCATAGGGTTTTTCTCCAGTGTGAGTTCTTTCATGTGCTTGAAAACCTACAGAAGATATGTAGGTTTTTCCACATTGTTTACATTCATAGCGTTTCTGTACAGTGTGATTCCTTTCATGTGCTTGAGCAGAATGGCGGTAAATGAAGGGTTTCCCACATTCCTTACATTTGTACGGTTTCTCTCCAGTATGAGCCTTTTCATGTCTTTGAGCAGACTGGTAATACCTGAATGCCTTTCCACATTCTTTACATTTATAGGGTTTATCTCCAGTGTGAGTCCTTCCATGTATTTGGAAAGAACGTTGACAACTGAAGGCTTTCCCACAGGCCTTACATTTGTAGCATATCCCTGCACTGTGTGTTCTTTTATGTTTTTTAAAACACTGCAGATAACTGAAGGGTTTCCCACATTCCTTACATTTATAGGGCTTCTCTCCGTATTCCTGACACTTATACAGTTTGTGTCTTATATAAGATATAATGTGCCTGTTAAGGGATGAATGATGGCTCAAGACTTTTCCACATACACTGCTTTCCCATAGCTTTCCTCCAGAAAGTGTTTTCTTGTTCAGACTGAGATTTGGAATCTGGCTGAAACTTTCTCCACCATGACTACCTTCTTTACTTTCAAAGAGTCTCTCTACCATCTGACTTCTGTAAAAAATGAGTAGCACATTAATAGTTCATTTATTAAATATTTTCTATTAATTGATACTAGACTAACTTTTTTTTCCACTTTCAGGGGAAGTGTAGAATTTTTGTCCTGTCTAAACTGCTTGAGAAGTGAATATATTGAATGCTGTGGCTCTGCAAGAGGGTTCAAACATAGCTATTATGAAAACACTGATATTCACATATGGGTGTCTTAATACTGTTTCCAAGTGAACTATTTTTCAAACACTGAACATCTACGTCACATTTTAGAAGCACTTTGGGTTTACACGTGTGTGTGTGTGTGTATTTTGAAGTGGAGTTTCGCTCTTGTTGCCCAGGCTGGAGTGCAATGGCATGATCTGGCTCACCAAAACCTCCACCTCCCGGGTTCAAGCGATCCTCCTGCCTCACCCTCCTGAGTAGTTGGGATAACTGGCATGCACCACCACGCCCAGCTAATTTTCTATTTTTAGTAGAGATAGGGTTTCTCCATGTTGGTCAGGCTGGTCTCGAACTCCTGACCTCAGGTGATCCAACCACCTAAGCCTCCCAAAGTGCTGGGATTGTAAGCGTGAGCCACTGCACCCGGCTGGGTTAATATTTTCTAAGAACAGATACATCTGAGGCTCAGCTTATTCGTTTTGTTTCCTTATTTATCAAATTTAATAGCATACTAAGATTTTCACCTAGAATACTGCTTTCTTTTGTGAATGTGGCTCACCTGAGATTTCTCCCCTGGTTTTTGTATTCCTCTTCAATGTTCCATTCTTTTTGTTTTCCTGAAATGCAGAACCAGAAAAATTATCATAAATTATTAGAAATTACAGAGAAATTATCAGATTCTAGGTCTATGTGTGACCATGTCTGATTTATTTACAAAAGTACTGCCTTTTCACATTCCACATCTTGGAAAAGCATTGATATCTAAGAAAAAGGGATTCTCTAATTCATTCAAGAACATGATGGAATTATTTCATTTTTACCTATAGAGGCCAGGTTCCTGAAGGTTTCCCACATCACATCTCTGTAGAGTTTTTTCTGTGAAGGATCCAGTAAAGCCCACTCCTCCTGGGTGAAGTTCACAGCCACATCCTCAAAGGTCACTGAGTCCTAAAACATCCCACATATGTGTAAAGAAGAATGAGTGAGACTGACAGCACTGGGCATCTATACTCTAGTCATAAGATATTCATGATCATTCTGTGATCTCCAGAGATTTATTCTATGAATTTGTTGTCGGAACTCTCTCTGGCCACACTCTCTCAGAAATTTATCAGCATTATGAACACATGAAAATTATTTCTACACTTTCACTGTAGAAAGATCACTGAGTGATCACCTCAATCATAATGCTTTCCACTGGCAGGATCCAGAGCAAGCTGGAAAAGAGAAGTGCTGTTAAAAAAAAAAAAAAAATCCATTTTAAAACCATCCATTTTTTATGAGAAAAACTCATCTTTCTTCTTATACATCACATCACTCAACATTCCATGAGACAAAGGGTCAAATCTGGGTAATATGTGAATGAATACAAGTACACTGGAGAACTAGAAGCTTCTTCTACTATTCCCATCACTAAACATTAGAATAAGAGGCATATAGAAATCAAACTTGTAACAATATTCAGCTGACCATACTGTCTTGAGATACTCCAGCATATTCAAGGAGGTCAAATCCAGCCAGTTCAGTCAAAATATTTCTTCTGGAGAACTTGACCGGGCATGATGGCTCATGCTTATAAACCTAGCACTTAAGGAGGGCGAGGCGGGCAGACTGCCTGAGCTCAGGAGTTTGAGACCAGCCTGGGCAACATGGTGAAACCTCATCTCAGTGGCTGCTGCCTGTAATCCCAGCACTTTGGGAGGCCGAGGTGGATGGATCACCTGAAGTCAGGAGTTCGAGACCAGCCTGGCTAACATGGTGAAATCCTCTCTCTACTAAAAATACAAAATTAGCTGGGTGTGGTGATGCATGCCTGAAATACTCGGGAGGCTGAGGCAGGAGAATCATGTGAACCTGGGAGACAGAGGCTGCAGTAAGCCGAGATCGCACCATTGCACTTCAGACTGGGTGACAGAGTGAGACTCCATCTCCCCTCGCCCACCAAAAAAAAAAACCATCAAAAAATTAGGTGGGTGTAGTGGTACGAATCTATAATCCCAGCTACCCAGGAAGCTGAGGCCCAAGAATCACTTGAGCCTTGGAGGCAGAGGTTGCAGTGAGCTGAGATCGCGCCACTTCACTCCACCCTGGGTAAGTATTTATTTTCACTTACTTGTGTTAACATTTATCAGAGACTTCTTTCTTTCTGTCCCACTTAATGGAGCTATTAAGTTGCTGGGAAGTTAGAGCTCAGGCATGAGGAAAAAAGCATGACAACTTTAGATCACAAAATCTCTATGCTTCTGAGCCTCAGGGGTACTTCCCACCAATTTTTAGCAAATACATGCACACATCCAGAGATGGCAAAATGCCAAAAGAGCTCTTTCCAGCAGAACCACTACAGTTAACCTTGGGCTTTGCTGACCTTGACAAACAGGTTAGGATTTGCAATTTACAAGAAAGTGCATTACAGCCCACAATGATATAATGAATTTACCCATGATTATAAAATGTATAAAAGATTCTCAGCAGAGGTTTCCTCCAAAAGAATATAAAATGCCCTTTCTCCAATTTAAGAAGGAAGTGATTCCCCTGCCACTCTAGACAAAAAGGGATGATTTAAATTGAACTTCTTTTTAGAAACCATACAAGCAAGGAGAAAGTAGAGTGAAAGTTCTGAAAGAAAAAAATCTGTATCAAGTAAAATTATCCTTCAAATGAATGTGTAATACTTTGAGACAAAAACTTAGGGACTCCCTCAGTCACTAGTACACCCACTTTAGAAGAAATGCTAAATTCATCAGAAAGAAGTTAAATGACAAAGAAAGCTCTGCAATAGAGAAGTCATAAGTGGAAGTAAAATATCATTTTCTCATTCTCGGTTATGTGACAGGTAACAGGTTGTTCACAGTAATAACAGCTACAGCACCTTTAGTAAGCACAGCTTATGGATTAGTGAAATGAGTAACAGCATTGTTATAAGGGAGGGAGGAATTGGGAATACTGTATTATGAGTTACTTGGGCAACCAGTGAAGTGGTCTAAGATTGCTAGCAAGAGGCCTTGAGATAATTGTATACTGCAAACTCAAGGGCAATCATTAAAATAGTTTAAAAAGAAAGTATAATTGATATGTTAAGTGGAAAAAAATGAAATCTGGTAAACAGTCAAAGACAGAAGTCACAGAGAAAATTTAAAATTATGTTATCTATAAGAAAACCACCTAATTATATGTTGTCTACAAGAAACTGTTTCTTTGTTTTCTTTTTT